GAGCTGGGCTAATTGCTCAAAGTATCATAGTCAAAATGCCAATAAGCGTGATATCAAATGTATCATAATTAATATGTATGTTTGGGAGTAGTGACATGTACCTCACTCACACTTTATCTGTACACTAACCCGATTGTCCAGACTTCACCACGTGTCTGTTTAGAGACTATTGTTGTCCACCTTAACTACAGCATCTGCTGACGGACGAATACAGTCGTCCTGCTATCTGTGTCTGCAGACAAGTTACAGTCAACACATTCCTTCACTGACGGATGCGGTACTCACCAAGCCTTCATCAAATGTAAACTCCTTTCCTTCCTCTGCCTCCATTTCCTCATTTCCTGTAGACATCTCAAGTGACTGAAACACAGCAAACACATTGTTGAATATTGACATAGTGATCTTGTGCAGCTGTATTTTTGTCAATAACATTTACGAATCATCTCGGAACATGCTAATAAACCGAATATGTTGATGTTTCATGTCAGCACATGATATATAATCACATGTTTCAATGCTGACCTTCAGCGGTGTTTAAAATAAGTATGCGTCCACCATCAGACCTTTAGCACTTAAATATAAGTGGCATGTCCAGTGTTCAATTCAATTCTTATTATAATGTATCATACATTTACCCAATCACTGTTGTCGTCGTCATCACAGTCACTGACACCAATTTACATCGTTATAAATGAAACCCCGTCATTAAAAAATACTCATTTCGATCTGTAATTAATTTAAATAGACCTTTTGACAACAGTGCACCATTCTCACCCGCGAACGAAATTTCAACCAATCAGAAGGGCGCGTCTCCGTGACGTAATGTGAGGAATAGATATAAGGGCCCATGTATAATCCATGTACATTTCAGGGGTAAATTATCTTGTTTACAGATTTGTGTAACCTGAAATCGTGACAATTGTTGTGAGAAACGAAAGCTGCAATCTACTGTCATCTAATTTTGTCACCTGCTTTGCCTAGCTTTCGAATTACAACTTGTTTTCATAGACGACTCTGTCAAAATCGCTTGTTGTCGCTCTGCGTTGTTTGTTCGAGCCAGACGCTAGTGATAGAGTAAGCAGGGTTTAGAAAGAATTACTCTACAACTGGTAACATCTTTGTCTTGGATATGCTTATTCAGATTCTTAAACAAAGTAAAGAGAAAATTATATTGTGCTTTTATTGATATCTCAAAAAAGCCTTCGACAATGTGTGGAGAGTCGGCTTATGGCATAAAGTACTAAAATGTGGTGTTAAGGGTAAATTCCTCAAGTTAGTCCAAAATATGTATGCAAATATAAAGGTCACGTGTGTTTATAAATGGCGCCGTATCACGAGTATGTCCCATGTTTTCAGGCGTACGGCAAGGAGAAAATCACCTCTGTAATTTTGTCTCTTCATCAATGATCTTGAAACAATCCTACTGAAAGACGAGATGCGCGGCTGTTAGAATTGGCGATTCGAACAATTTATATGTGCAATTATGTGTCTGTTTCTTAATCCTTCTCTACACAGACGACACGGTCCTACTTGCTGATTCTGCAACTGAACTCCAGAAAACATTAGATTCCTTTAAAGACTATTGCAATATCTGGAAATTGGATGTTAACCTGAAAAAAAACTAAAGTTCTTATCTTTGGAAGCCGGCCGTCCAAAAATGTAGGTTATCTTTTATTTGGAAAATACCGAAATTGAGATCGTAGATAATTACACATACTAAGGTGTTATATTCATTAGAAACAGGAACTTCAGGTCAGCAATCAAATGTTTATCAGAAAGAGCTTCTAAAGCCATGTTCTGTCTATGAAAGAAATCTAGAAATTATAATGTTCCCTTGACTGTTTGCTGAAAGCTTTTGACGTGATGATATCACCGATATTATTATATGGTTTCCAAATCTGGGCCTACCAAAATATAAATATAATTGAAAATATTCATTTAAAATTCCTGAAACTAGCCTGTGGGCTTAGACATTCAATCCCAAAGTTTATGGTCAATGGTGAATTGGGTAGGGTATCCTTATCGATTTATGCAGCCAAACGGGTAGTTAGTTCCTGGCATAAACTCCGTAAACCTGGACCTTCCTCGAAATTATCACAAATTATCTATCAGTTTGCCTATTTGCGATCTGTAGCTATTAATGAACAAAACTGTCTGGACAAGTAATGTAAAGCAAATGCTTAACCCATGTGGCCTATCCTATATATTTCATGACCCATTAAGTGTTTCAAAGCCAATGGCTTACGGCTCGAGTAGAACAGACTCTGAAGATCAGCTCTATCAAAACTGGAGATCTGACGTAGAGAGAAGCTCGAAAGGGCTTTATTATAAATGCTTAAAAGTCATTCCTTCATTTGATAACTATCTCCTTCTACCTAAACAAATATACTACCCTCTCTTAAAATACAGAACTTGTAACCATAATCTGCCTGTCGAGGTTGGCCGTTGGCTTGGCATAGAGAGAGAATTTAGGACATGTAAACTGCTGTGTATGTCGCCAGCTATAGCTGATGAATTCCACTACCTGTTTGAATGTCAGGCTTTTTATGAATGAAGATTCAAATTTATCCCAAATAAATACATTCAGTTCCCCTAATATAATAGAGTACAAAACAAGTACAAATTATTGTTATTTTTGGAAAACCTTTCTCCTGTACCAACGTGGTTTAAATTCCAGTGGACATGTCCCCAGGTTACCATAAACCTTGAATGAAGGGTGCTTTGTCTTAGTGCGAGGGGTGGGGTCCTTTAGAAAATTTAAATGAATATGTTCTACCCAAGATTTCCAGTTTTGAAACGGTATTTATGATCTTTTTGGAACCACGAAATATAGATATATTTGTTTGGAGGATACTTTTATTATAAGTCGCCATGTTTCAATATTTATCAGCGCAATCTAACATGTGTTGTAAATCCTTTGGATCTGAAGTTAGCAGGATGGTGCGATCTGCATACAACAAAACAAATAGGTTTATCATACTTTCTAATCGGGTGTGAAAGTCACCAGGAAGTAATTTTTTAACATTTGTCAAGTTGTAGATCATATTGAAGATCATTCAGAAATATCTTAAATAGTATTAGTAATACATTTTCACCTTGTCGGACGCCAGATGAACCAGGTTAAAATTGGTCTTTGCTTGATTTCATGATACACACGATGTAATATTTTGATACATGTTATGAATAACATTAAAGCATTTTCCAGTTATGTTGTTTGATATCAATTTATCATAGTCCCCAACGCCAGAGGTGACAAAGACTTTTTGGAAATCAACGATGGCACATTATAATTTCTTTGTTCTAGTTTTAATGATTCCCAGAGATGATAAAAATATTGTCCTAACTTCAGTTTGTGCTTCAGATAACATTGTAGCAGAGTTCAGGAAATCTGTGGGACTATTGTTTAAAACAGATAATGAATAATTTCACGAAACGGCTCAAAAGTGCAATGTGTCTAACATTTTGTGGCTTATTATGATCACCTTTGTGTTTACTGAATGACATTAATAGTCCATTTAACCAACTTTCTGGGTTCCTCCCGTGCCGTAAGTTTTGCACAAATTATATCATTGGTGGAAGAAATGTCCTCCTTTATGACATCACCAGGTCCAGCAGCTTTATTATTGTTCAGTTTATCTGCCTGCTTGATCCTTGATCCTGTGTGAACAACTGGCTGTGTTGGTGATTTCTATGCACCTCACTGAAGTAAGTAGCTGGTTAATCGGTGTTGCTATCAATAGATCCACGTTGGTCCTATGACGTAACACTCATAGGCGCTGGTTAATCTTCTGATACACCTGCCAGTATTGTTACCTCCCTTTGTATCATACGACACTCTTCATTTTGTATTTTGCAAAATGGCATTTAGGTCAATATCTGAAATGCGGTTGGCGTCATATAACTGAAGAAAACGGCACTATAGCCAGTGAATCAAGTGTGTAGATTTGTATGGTTGTGACATTTCAGTACAGAACAATTAAGTTAGCAAAACCATTAGCTGAGATAGAGCACCATCTTTGCATCGTGTCAGAGGTAGGGCTGTATGTTTACACATGATCACGTTGGGTCATATCTGATCTTACACCACAAGACAGAACGATGTCAATCAACAAGATTATTGTTGCTGTGAGCCTCCTACAGTCTCCTAATATGTCAACACTAACAGATTAACAGAAAACTTTTTACTAAATGAATTATGATTGATGTCAGACATGAAATACGTAATGTTGACGCATAATTTATACATCAGTGTTGGTTTATCGTTTGCCTGATCTCAAACTGTGCATACATTTACGTTTTGTTGACATGTTAATATTTTTCAATATTGGGAATACATGCCTATTTCTACTGAATGTCGTGTTTGAACTAGATGCACTTAGTGAAGTTACGACAGTTCACAATTGACATTGATCAGGTTCTAGTGCGGTAGATTAATCCTGCCTTTTGCGAAGCGTCACGTGACTAGCATTCAACTCGGTATGCTTGTACTGCATTTCACTGCTTGTGACACACATCTTGCCAGATTAACCACCACACGCAATGTCTCACTGTTATTGTCAGACATACATAATACAAACACCTTATAAGTTTGGTCACACTGTGATCCCTGAATAAGTCGCAACTTTGGAATATTCGTGATAACGCTACACGTTCCTAAGCGCAAGAAGCACACACAATAGTTTCGAGTAATGTTACTGTGTGTCTTCCTACCTATAGTTACCCAGAATAACTCACAAAACACACAGGTATATCCTTTTATGACCACAGTGAATGTCCTGTGTCCACCCAGACATGTAAATGTCTACCTACAAAGAGTTGCCCAGAATAACACACAAAACAAACAGGTATATCCTTGTGTGACCACAGTGTATGCTGTGTGTCCACCCAGAACATGTGTCTACCTACCTAGAGTTGCCCAGAATAACACACAAAACAAACAGGTATATCCTTGTATGACCACAGTGTATGTCCTGTGTCCACCCAGACATGTATCTACCTACCTAGAGTTGCCCAGAATAACCCTCAAAACACACAGGTATATCCTTGTATGACCACAGTGTATGTCCTGTGTCCATCCAGACATGTGTCTACCTACCTAGAGTTACCCAGAATAGCCCTCAAAACACACATGTATATCCTTGTATAATCACAGTGTATGTCCTGTGTCCACCCAGACATGTATCTACCTACCTAGAGTTGCCCAGAATAACCCTCAAAACACACAGGTATGTCCTTGTATGATCACAGTGTATGTCCTGTGTCCACCAAGACATGTGTCTACCTACCTAGAGTTGCCCAGAATAACCCTCAAAACACACAGGTATATCCTTGTATGATCACAGTGTATGTCCGGTGTGCACTTGGCCAGTGTGTGTCTCCTTCTGTTGTCAACCTGGGTCTCTGTGTGGGCTGCCTACATACAACCCGGAAGTTATTTCACTGATGGTTAACCTGGTGCCAAAATTAAATCCACGTTGGATCAATGACTGAAGTCTCACAACTTACAGGTTAATCTGTCTCTCAGGTTTGCCTATGAGGCATCCATTTATTCACGTGGAGACATACTTCTGTGAATGTTTTTGCTATAAATATTTCACTGTTTTCATTGTTATTTAAAGGAATTTATCATTTAAAGGAATTTATCATCGTGGAAGCTTCCTGTAACAATGTTCGAGCAACACTATGAAGAAAGACACCTGGGATGAGCTCACTGGTTCTAAACATGTGGGGGAATTGAACATGCGTCCAGTTACAGGGTTGCACATTTACAATAACAACATTGTCAGTACACTTGAAGTGTGAGACTTAATCTTACTGCTACAAATACATCCACGTTGGTACAACGTTCGTCTCTAACCGTTGTGAATAGATATGCTCATGGCATTTCCTGCTTCCACGCTGGACCGTTATATGAACACTGGTCTACGTCTGATGTATACTGAGTCATAGCAGTGATAGTTTCAAACTGATGTCTTAGTTACAGGCAAATTTATGTATTTGGCACAAAGTGTTAAAAGGTGATGCTTGGGATTAAGGAAACAGGACAAAGTTTTTGCTCGCCTCGGAGACACACTGCAGCATAGTATATAATTCAGTTGACTATCTCAATACAAAGGGCATGAGTCACGCACGCTCCACATGTACACGCACGCTCATACATTGACACTGAGGTATGTGAGGTTGTTTGTGATGTCAAATCTCGACTCATGTTATTGACAGAAAGCAAATGCTTTATCAGGGTAAATCACATTTAACCTCAGCTATTGGGTTTCGTATTCTACCTCAACAAGGGACATAACTCGTGTCTGTTCTAAAGGCTCCTGTCACTGACTCGGCCGCGACTGGTTAATCTTGTAGATAAATACCACAACGTCAGTGGGTAAAACCAGGATACTATAAATAGATCATTTACGTCACTGCACTGTACAGCAGATTAATCTTCCGTCGTTTTAAAATACTGCATATTACGACTATTGTATATCTGAATGGTACGGTTGCTATGGAAACAAATACCATGCAGACATGAGTACATGAATCCGGAAGTGTGTTTGTTTTCAAAATGCTATGCTATCTCAACGGCACAATTATATCGGAAATAAAAGTATGTATATAGTCACACATGACAGCAACAGTGACGCTGTATATATCGTCAGACGCATGTATTCCGACTGATGCTCATCCGTCTGATCCTCTTCTATGTAGCCATGCCCATTGTAATTATTGATATATCACAACGAATGAAAAACATGAGTGATATAGTTCAATCTTCTCAGCCTTCTTCGTTATGCAAATGATTAATCTCAATCATATATTATTACATTTCAAACCAAAACACTCTCAACATTTTAATTTTGCTAATGTGCTTGTGTTTCAGATATTACATGGAGAGCTTAATCTTAGGGCTATTTGTGGATCAAAGTTGGTCCTTTGACATAACCTTACACAGCAGGGGTCAGTCTTCAGATACATCGTTCTTTGTATCAACCAATACAACTCATTTGGATAATGGCATTGATGTTAAGAACTAGTACAAATATTGAATTTTAAGTTGTAATATTCCAGTTATCATGAAACAAACTGGTAAACAGATTCAGCAGATGTTACGGGTGTGGTGTTTCACGGAGGATACCGTCAGATTAACCCTTGTCGGTACAGATTCAGCAGATGTTACGGGTGTGGTGTTTCACGGAGGATACCGTCAGATTAACTCTTGTCGGTACAGATTCAGCAGATGTTACGGGTGTGGTGTTTCACTGAGGATACCATCAGATTAACCCTTGTCGGTACAGATTCAGCAGATGTTACGGGTGTGGTGTTTCACTGAGGATGCCCCGTCAGATAACCCTTGTCGGTACAGATTCAGCAGATGTTAACCCTTGTCAGATTAACCCTTGTCGGTACAGATTCAGCAGATGTTACGGGTGTGGTGTTTCACTGAGGATACCATCAGATTAACCCTTGTCGGTACAGATTCAGCAGATGTTACGGGTGTGGTGTTTCACTGAGGATGCCGTCAGATTAACCCTTGTCGGTACAGATTCAGCAGATGTTACGGGTGTGGTGTTTCACTGAGGATACCGTCAGATTAACCCTTGTCGGTACAGATTCAGCAGATGTTACGGGTGTGGTGTTTCACAGGAGGATTTCACTGAGGATGCTGTCAGATTAACCCTTGTCGGTACAGATTCAGCAGATGTTACGGGTGTGGTGTTTCACTGAGGATACCGTCAGATTAACCCTTGTCGGTACAGATTCAGCAGATGTTACGGGTGTGGTGTTTCACTGAGGATACCGTCAGATTAACCCTTGTCGGTACAGATTCAGCAGATGTTACGGGTGTGGTGTTTCACGGAGGATACCGTCAGATTAACCCTTGTCGGTACAGATTCAGCAGATGTTACGGGTGTGGTGTTTCACTGAGGCTACCGTCAGATTAACCCTTGTACGATTCAGTACAGATTCAGCAGATGTGACGGGTGTGGTGTTTCACTGAGGATACCGTCAGATTAACCCTTGTCGGTACAGATTCAGCAGATGTTACGAGTGTGGTGTTTCACGGAGGATACCGTCAGATTAACCCTTGTCGGTACAGATTCAGCAGATGTTACGGGTGTGGTGTTTCACTGAGGATGCCGTCAGATTAACCCTTGTCGGTACAGATTCAGCAGATGTTACGGGTGTGGTGTTTCACTGAGGATACCGTCAGATTAACCCTTGTCGGTACAGATTCAGCAGATGTTACGACCCTTGGTGTGGTGTTTCACAGCAGATGGAGGTGGTGTTTGCCGTCAGATTAACCCTTGTCGGTACAGATTCAGCAGATGTTACGGGTGTGGTGTTTCACTGAGGATGCCGTCAGATTAACCCTTGTCGGTACAGATTCAGCAGATGTTACGGGTGTGGTGTTTCACTGAGGATACCGTCAGATTAACCCTTGTCGGTACAGATTCAGCAGATGTTACGGGTGTGGTGTTTCACTGAGGATGCCGTCAGATTAACCCTTGTCGGTACAGATTCAGCAGATGTTACGGTGTGGTGTTTCACGGAGGATACCGTCAGATTAACCCTTGTCGGTACAGATTCACCAGATGTTACGGGTGTGGTGTTTCACTGAGGATACCGTCAGATTAACCCTTGTCGGTACAGATTCAGCAGATGTTACGGGTGTGGTGTTTCACTGAGGATACCGTCAGATTAACCCTTGTCGGTACAGATTCAGCAGATGTTACGGGTGTGGTGTTTCACTGAGGCTACCGGAGGATGCCGTCAGATTAACCCTTGTCGGTACAGATTCAGCAGATGTTACGGGTGTGGTGTTTCACTGAGGCTACCGTCAGATTAACACTTGTCGGTACAGATTCAGCAGATGTTACGGGTGTGGTGTTTCACTGAGGATGCTCTTAAGTAAGTCAGATCAAAACCCTTGTCGGTACAGATTCAGCAGATGTATGAAGAAACGGTATAGGGTGTGGTGTTTCACTGAGGCTAGGCCGTCAGATTAACCCTTGTCTGTAGGTTTTGAAGTATTCGTCATCATGGTGTTATAGTCATCGCAGGAGTCAAGAAGCATGTGACTAGCACGTGAAGTGACGTGTCTACATTACAGCATGGTGCATTTCAACACAAACACACAGACACACACACAAAACAAAAACAAAACAAAACAAAAACAACCCAAAACAACCAGCAAACAAAACAACACACACACACACTCTCTCTCACACACACACACACTCTCTCTCACACACTCTCACACAGACACACACTCTCTCTCACACACACACATACACTCACATACTCTCTCACACATACTCTCACACACTCTCTCTCACACACACACACACACACACACACTCCTATCATATCCGTCACTGGAGTGTTCTATTGTTCTCATGTTAAACAGTCGCATGAAAATAGTCCAGGCGTTGAAGTGACACTGGCGCTTTGGAAACAGTAACCTTACACAGATGAGTGAGTGGGGGTTTTACGCCGCTTTTAGCAATATTCCAGCAACATCACGACGGGGACACCAGAAATGGGATTCACACAATGTAAATGTACCCATGTGGGGAATCAGACCTGTGTTTTCGGCGTGACGAGTGAATTCTTTAACAACTGGGTTATCCACCGCCCCATACACTGATGAAGAAAATATAGCATTATGTTTTAATGAACTATCTTGAAACAGCCCCGTAGTAGAAAGTGTTTTATGTTCTAAGAGCACGATAGAAGAGAGCATGACTTTAAGTTCTAATAACATTTGCCAAGCCTGCTCTGGAAATATTTACATGACACTGACAGGACTATACATTTAACGACTCCTGCTTTAAATATTAGCAGTCCATGTGCTGATGTGTGTGTGTACTGAATGTGTTATGCACATTACATAAGGACAGCAGTTGACAGCCTCCTCAATACCTTGTGACCAGTTCCTGGCAGGGCAGGTTAATCTCATGACACTTGTGTGACGCTGATACTGACTGTTTGTGTAGCCAGGGAGAGTAACCGCCATATATGATATATTTGACAAGTCCAATTGTGAATGATTGTTATTCCTGAATAATTCATTACTGTGGAGTATTCTTGTACAGTCATAATCTTTCTACAACAAGCAAATAGTTGCTATCGATTAATGTTATTGTGTGTCTACCTACCTAGAGTTGTCCAG